TGAACCTGTAAAGTGGCTGTGAAGCTAAAGTGTGAAAATACACCGGTCCGCTGCACCATAAGTGTGTCATTGGGTCCACAGTAACCTATATCACACACGTCAAGTAGCTGTACAGTGATTATTTACCAATGCTGCAGGTGTAGGGAGATAATGTAACTCATATTTTTTTTTCCAGATCAACATAGACAATTACATGGACAGATCGGGAGCCGAGGTAGGGTGTTCACATAATCTGTCTTCCTTTAGTATGGCATTAGAGTTAAAGGGTCTTATATCCTAATTGTATGTTGTCACAATAATGTTTAAAGTAACCCCTGTTTCTCTTATAACAACCGTAGTTCAATTTTAGTTAAAGTGTTGCTGGAATCATTTTCGGGTTGGGGCAGAAGGATGCTTTGTCATTCTCCTTTGTTTTATAGTAATTCTGTTGAATGGTTTGTTATTCAGAAGTGACACCAAACTAAATGCTACTGAGTGACTTTACCTTCTAATTTACACATAATGGAAAACAAAGTTTTCATTTCCAACCCTTTTTTTTTTTTTTGCTGCTGCCTAATTGAATTTGTACGTATTTACTGTGGTTAATACCTACTGTATTAATGCTTTATTACTTGCATGTACAACAGTAACACTGTTGGATGTCCAATGGTTGTAACAATGTTGTATTGTCTCTTTTTTTTCTTTTTTAGGAATCCATGCGTCATCAACTCTTACAAAGAGTTCGGAGAAGGGTTGTTTCTGTTCTCAACAGGCAGCCCATTGACTTTAACTACTTGGACGTTGTTTGTTCCCAGGAGTTACAGTTTCTAATAGCCGGAGCGGCTTATATTCATCTGGAGGAGACAGTGTTAGAACATTTTCAGAATCTGAGTGCAGTTGTACGTTCATATGCCTCAGCTAATGCTTCATCCCCATGACTATTGAATGTAACACAGGTTGAATACAATGGGAATGTAGGGAGACCCAAAGTTAATATAGAAACTGAAACTCTCACTCATCTACTTAGTAGTGGTTTGCCATTGACTTCCTTGTGTAGGCTTACTGACATTTCAAGGTCAACATTTTACAGACGTATGAAAGAGCATAATCTGTCTGTAAGAAAACTCTATTCCAGCATTTCAGATGCTGCATTAGATCAGAAGGTTAGGTCTATAAAGACCAGAATGCCAAATGCTGGCTACAGATTGGTGAAAGGGTCTCTTCAAGCAATGGGTGTCCGGATTCCCTGGAAGAGAGTTCAAATGTCTTTGCAGCGTGTGGACGGAGCAGGAATTATTTCCAGAATGGTCCAGCTGTCTTGCATTTCCAGATGACAATACTGTGTTCCGGCTCCATTATCTCTTGTCCACATTGACACAAATCATAAGCTCATCAGGTTTGTATATCTAAATGCATAAGGAATCTACATATATTTTTTGTTTATGATAACAATGTGTATATTTCTAGGTACAACATTGTTATTTTTGGAGCAATTGATGGCTTTTCCAGGAAGGTAAGTTGTTTTATTTTGTATTTTAAGTCTTTTCATCACTTGTGTCCATTTGATTTAACTTAATTCTAAAAATTGTTCTATAGATATTTTACTTGAACACGGCTGGCAACAACAAGGCAGAAACAGCGTTTTGTTTCTTCATGGATGGGGTTTGCAAGCATGGATGGCCATCAAGGCAAGTTAATAAATTATGTTTAAATAAGATATAACATTCTATGTAGGATGTTCTTGAATTACCTTGATTCCTTTCCAATGAAACTTTTTTGTGTTAAAACATAAACCAGCATGTTGATGGAGCGGAGTTAGGTATGTCCATGTACATAATGCCACTGTCTGCTTTCCTTGATTTTGGTTTGTCATTTTCTTTTATTGTCTCTTACCTTTGCGTTTTTTATATTTTCTTTTACATCTTAAACTTCATTCCACATTTCAAGACTGCTAGAGACCTCTAATGTGATTTTGATGATGTCCTTATACATCAAACATGTATAAGGACATATTGCAGTGAGTGTTGCATGACATAATTTTCCATTTCCCTTACAGAGTTCAAGGGGATCACGGGGTTGAAAATGTGGACATTGCGAAGTGCATGTTTACGGTTCGAGGTACTGGACGTGGCAGTTTCATTGCTGGGAAAAGTGTTCATAACCAGCGGTAACGTACCAAAAAGTGTCTGTCTTTTTCTGCTATTTACAACAATGAAAAGCTTGATTCTTTTAATTTTGTTTTATAAAAAATATCTGCTTCAATAACATTATTTGGCAACATTTAATCATAAAACAATAATGACAAGTTGCTGTTATGCAAAAATGGATAGCAAAACAAGCAGTCAAACAGGTTGTGAATGACCAGGGTTGCTCATGTTTTTGATGGAATTTACTGAACTCCTTTGTGACAGACAATGTATCAACAAGAGAAACGCGTATCTGAAATATTGGAGTAATTTCCTTTTAATACTGACTGAATAATTTGTGTGGAATTACTTTTTTTTTTTTTAACTACCATTGAAAACCAAATCCAAATTTCTATATTTGTGATTAGCAGTAGGAAGTAATATTCACTACAAAATTATTTCTAAATAAAGAATTTGACAGTTATAATGTTTTGTCTTCAAATATGTAATTCTTATGTTTCAGAATTGAACGCTTGTGGAGAGATGTTTGGAGTGTAACTTCAAAGTATTACAACATGCTCCACAGTTTGGAGGAAGAGGGTCACATTGACCTGTCCAACGCTGTCCATCTGTTCTGTTTGGGGTACATCTTTATACCACGACTAAGGAAAGATCTGCAGAATTTTGAGGACAGCTGGAATGCTCATCCGTTGAGAACTGAAAGAAACCTGTCACCGAACCAACTGTGGACAATTGGAATGCTGCAGGAACCAGTGCCAGAGCCCGACCTCGCAGAGGTGGTTTTTCTATGTTTTACTTGGCTGTAATTGTAACATTCATATTTCATAGCACAAACATGGCATCACTACATGCATATGTACATCTTTATTTATTGAATTAGATGGTTGGATCGATCGATGTAAATGATCTGTCCTTGACTTTTGTCTAAGCGGATCCTGCAAGGTGCGGAAGGGCTGTCCCTAGATCAACAAAGTACAGAACATGGAATTAATATTCCAGAAATCCAGTGCCCGCTGTCCACCGAGAGACTGTCTGCACTGCAGGAGCATGTAAACCCTTTGGCTGAGTCAACATCACTTTGAGAAGATCTCTATTTCTTAGCTCTTGAGGTGGCCTCTGGTTGATCTGATAGAGCATTGTGTATACATAAAACTGCTGGAGATGCACCAGCCCTCCTGGCAACCCTACAGGGATATAGATGTGCTACATAATAAATGGATCTTAGTTTTATTTATGAAGTCAATATGGTTTTTAGTCTGTCGATGTCTTCACAGTTTTGTTGAATTTACTGTAAGGAAAAGATTTACATTAAATAGAACATGCATTATTTGTTGTAAAATGTTTTTTTTTTAATAGATCCTGTACATCAGGGGTCCCCAAACTTTTTCCTGTGGGGGCCACATAACTTTTCCCTTCTCTGGTGGTGGCCGAAGTCAGTTTGTAACAGAAAAACTGTGACGATTGCAAGAGTGCCTAAATGTAATCAAATAACCCTCTCTGGGTTCTTCACAGAACAAAAGTCAGGAAATAACACTATTAATGAAATAAATAATCAAATAACCCTCTCTGGGTTCTTCACAGAATACAGGAAGGATTATAGTTTTTATTTTCAGAAATATGAAAATACCAGACTATGAACCACAACTCCACTGTTTTTTTTTGTTAAAGAAACGGTAAACATACACATCTAAGCCTCAGATATCTCTGCTGCTCCAGGTTTTCCACAACGATGCAGCAGAGGGAGATGGACACCCAAAATCTGAGTCATAACAGCTCGATTCAATATCACCTTTTTCTTAAGGTTAAAAATGAAAAAGGTGCATTGTTTATATCTAACTGAGCTGATTATTTATATGTAAATAATTCTGAACACCATGGCATGGAGTGCATCCCAGTTTTCCATGTCTAGCATATAACCATTAATTTTAGCTTTTAAACTGGTTCTATTGATCCTGTGTCCAGACAGAGGGATAATCAGTAGACCTAGCATCATGACTTGTTTGTTCTAAAGATCCTGCAGCTTCCACTTCTCTTCCTAACATGGCGCCTCCTCATCCTGACTCTCATACTGACAGGAGGAACCTCAGAGCTCTGTTAGGTTAAAGCTCATCTTCTGAAGTTGGGATATTTTTCTTCCAACATGTTCCAGAGGAATCACCTCAAACCAGATGTTGGACTGGTTCAACATCACTGTCATTTGTGAATGTTAGAGCCTCATTTTCAACAGTGGAGCTATAAAGGTTTAAAAAGGTTATCAGTAAGTGTCATCAACATTTCCACTAAGAGGCCAAAATAAAAATTGTTTGATAGAGGACAAGCCTCTCAGACTCTGAGCTACAAGCAAAATGCCAGAGCACCAAAAGCACCATTCCCCTAAATTAGACAATTTGTAATTACAGCAGCAATGGAACAAAAATAAATAGAAGCAATTGATGTCATTAACAAAATTATTTCTTTCAAAGTTTTTGGTGAGTGACCATAGTACATGTTCAAATCAAATCACTTATTAACACGCCAAGATATTTTAGTGCAAGATTTTCAACTTCAGGTTTGCTGTAGAGTAAATTCGGTTTCCTTGTTCTGAAGAACATTACAATTACATTAATCCATTAAAGGGTTAGGATGTCATGTTTATTCCTACTTTATAAATGCTATAAGGACAATAAAGAAATGCAACATTTTCTTAAAACTATCACAGAGAATTACATTAGAAAAAGTAACAATATGAGGCACTGTAATAACAGATGTACTGTAATGTACTACATTACACTGTAGTAATAGATGGCACTGTGATTCTGTGTAATTTGAAGAAATATTAAAATTTCCTTAACTCAGGAAATACTGGTCTTTGAACAGCGTAAAATGTGTTTTTTTAAGCTAGGTCTGAACTATTGGTCCAACAATAACCACTTTGATATACCTCCTGACCTACAGTCTCTCAAAGCTGAATCCATATGTGACAGCAGTACTGAAGTTACTCTTGAAGGACTCATAATCACTTAGATGGGCCATTGGAAATGTCACTGTGCTGGTACAAGCACTTACTACAGGATAGCACACAGTGTGGCCTGGTGTATGCTCTAGGCAATGGTGATCAAAAATCAGTGACTTTAAATGTATTTCTTTCTGATACAAGCAAATGTTTATGTGCCTGCCCAGTCATCCACTGCATCACCATTGGAACAGTCAGAGTCAGCACTTCTTCGTTGTCAGCTTGTTCTGCATCTATAAAAATATTAATAACATTGTTAATTTGTCATTCAAATAA